TATGTCGGTTATGCTGACGATACAACTCTCCTTCTGCAAGGGAAGCAACAAATTGGCAGGGCGGAAGAGGAGTTGGAGAAGTTTAAGAATATTTCCGGCCTGGAGATGAACGTGGACAAGTCAGTGGTGATGCCCTTAGGGGCTAACCTGGGGAAAAAGTCTTGGCGCTCGGATGGTTTTCGCTGGGCGGAGAAAGATGAAGCGGAAAGGCTCCTAGGGGTTTGGATTACGCCGAGCGGAAGCTGCCAGCCGACATGGGATAAGGCGCTGCAGAAGATGGTTGCGAAGATGTCGTTATGGCAGCCGCAATATCTCCCGATTAAGGCTCGGACGGCGGTGATGGACGGCTACATACTGCCGATCGCATGGTCGCAGGCGCAGGTCTATCCTCCTCCGGCGCAAACCTGGGGGGTCATTACTAAGATGACTCACAACTTCATGTCAGCCAACAAAGCTTCATCGGAGAACTGTTTCCGTCTCTGGAGCAAGGAACTGCTATTTACGCCGGTTCTGGAAGGAGGTGTGGGGGCGATGAACCCAGAAGCGATGCTTACCTGTCTGACGGCTCGGAGGATAGCGTTGACGCTCACGGAAACAGATCAGCTGAAGAGAGCATTGATGCGGCAAGCGGCTGACCTACCACGTGGGCTGGAGACTTTCGCGGCACATGTGAAGCTACTAAAAACATGGGAGGGGAAAAGCCAGAGGTGGATGTTGGCATGCGCGAACTTCATGCACTCTCCGCTGGCGGATTCTACTGAACAACGGGATTTGAAGGAGCTGTTGCTGGAGAGAATCACTTTTAACAGACACGTCCTCTTGAACGGCTCCACACCGGTGGGAGGACAGAAGGCGGTGAAGCAGCTTCATAATATCAGGTTGGGTGACCTTCTTGGGAGAGATACGGCAGGGCGAGGAGTGCTGAAAAGCTGTGAAACCCTAACGAGGGAGCTGAGAGGGAAGGATTCTGCAAACCTCGCGCTCAAAGCTTTTGCTGCAGCACCGGCGTCATGGAGGAGTCAACTCCTCTCTGACGTGCTTCCGAACGTGGGGTTCGCGGAGGAGTATGAGCTGGGGAGAGGGGGACCTTCACAGCTCCGGATGAAGCTGCTAGCGGAAGGGGGGGCAGTTCCACTAAAGACACTCAGGAAGCACTGGAGGCTTGGGGACAGTGGAAAAACTAGACGGGAGAGATGGGCAAGCCGTTGGGGGGGTAGCATTGATTGGAAACGGGCAGTCCAAATTCGCGAGTCGCTGGTCACCCCCAGCCGGTCGAGGGATGTCTTGCTACGTATCCACTGCCTTAATCTTCAGGTCGGGGAGAGGCTGGAGTTCCTCAGCAGCAAACCGGTTTGCCCTCACTGTGGAGGGTTTGAGACGTTAGAGCACTGCTTTTAGAGTGTCCAAGGACTCAGGGGGTGGTTTCAGCGGTAAAAAAGGCCTTGAGGATGATCAACCCTGCCAGGAAAAAGGACTCGCTCGGTGATTGGTTATTCGGTGAAGCGGGTTCCATGTCAGCATTCCCGGAGGCGTCGTTGATAGCGATTGCCCTCCATCAGCTGTGGGTGGAGAGATGTGAAGGTGCCTTCAGGGGCTGCAAATTCCGCACGCGGAGAGTTCTGCGGAAGATTGAGTCAGCGCTCCGCATGCATGTGAATGTCTACATACGTGCCTCGGCCACGAGGGTGCAGCAGCGAGGAAAAGGGCAGCTCGCCAGGTGGCAGAAAATGACTGAACAGGAACGTACTCTTCTGGATCGGATCAGGGTGGTGGATGGCAAAGGATGGAAATGGTCCAACAGTTTTGCGGCACTTTGGGGCAAACCTCGCAGGCCCCGGATCCATGTCTGAGGATCAGATATTCCTGGAGCGAGTCCTCTCGTCTCCCTTGCACAGTTACGACTGTTATGCGTTGTACACTTGTTCACTCTAGTGTATGATTCATTAAGCAAAAAAAAAAAAAAAAATGTGTTAAAACCGAACCTACATTCTGAAGGTTGCTTCGTTTTTGGTAGGGAGCTTTCTGATTCTGGCTTGGCGCCAATGTGCTTTTTGTGGCGCGAGTCGCGTTTGCTCCGCAACCATTTGCATGAGGTGATGAAATGGCGCGAAAACTGTTCATCGTTCTGGTGATGCGCTATCTGCTTGTCATCGCGTTACAGAACTATGTTCAATTTCTGCATTGAAAATGTACAACGCTGTACCACAGGGGAAACAAATATACATATTGTAAGGAAAATTCCTTTCCCTTACTTCGCGTCCCGGCTCAGCGCGTACACCACTGTAGCACCACAGTCAGCACCGTTACCACTCGCAACCCTCGCATCGACAATTTTCCCGCCACCTTCGCACGTCTCACCCCGACCTCACGGCTCGGCGGGTAACCCGCGCTCCGGGCCTCCGCTTCGATATTTCCCCAAACCTAAGTCACAGGCACGTCGCGTGACAACCACAGTCCATTGCCGTTACCACTGTAGTTTCGCTATATATTCTTCACTCATGCCTTCGCTCAAAGAACTCTTGCTTCGATAGTGCAATTCTCGCTCGCTCACTCAATTGCACTCGTAACACTTAGTATTCATAGCCTACGATCTCTTCTCGGACCGCACCCACACATTCGCTTCCCCACTATCTCAATGTTTTAGGGGGGTAGACGTCTCTCAGCGACACAGCACCGCCGCTCGTAGTGCTCTCTCATAAGCACGCACGGCCACGACAGAGGCTCTCGTTGAGCTTGCCCGACACCCGCTGCCATGGCCGAATTTACTCTCGCGACACTGACGCAGGAGCAACTCGACCGTCTCGTGCGCCAAGTCGAAGAATCAGCGCTCAAAATTGCGACGCTCGCGGCGGAACGTGACTCCGCGCGTCAGACTGAGGACTGACACAACCCGAGCTCGACAAACTGAGGAAGCATTTAGATTACTTGTTAGAGAAGAAATTCATCCGACTGATCTCGTCACCGTTCGCCGCACCGATACTGTTAACGCCAAAAAAAGACGGAGGGTTTCGTATGTGCATCGATTACCGAGCGCTCAACAGGGTAACAGTCAAGTCGCGGTACCCCATTCCCCGCGCCAACGAACACATCGACCGATTGCGAACAGCACGGGTTTTCTCGAAAATAGATTTAAGGGGGGGCTACCATCAGATTAGAGTCAAACCATCGGACTGCGCCAAAACAGCTTTCCGGACTAGGTACGGGTCGTTCGAGTACACCATGATGCCCTTCGGGCTGACCAACGCACCAGCGACTTTTCAGATGACCATGAACGAGGCGTTTAGGCCACTTTTAGATAAATGCGTGATAGTTTACCTCCACGACATCCTCGTCTACAGTCGAGACACGCAGCAGCACTTAGCAGATCTGGAAGCAGTCCTTCAAATTTTAGACGAGAACCGGTTACTAACAAAGGGCTCTAAGTGCGAGTTTTTTAAGGACAGGCTAGAGTTTTTGGGGCACGTTATTTCGGAGGCTAGGGTCAAAATTGACCCAAAGAAGTTGGACACGGTGAAAGCCTGGCACCCCCCGACGAATATCACGGAACTACAGAGCTTTTGGGGGTTCGTCAATTACGTGTGTCGGTTCGTCCCTAACATGGCAAGGTTAACAGCGCCGTTGACGCACTTGTTACGTAAGGGGGTCGCTTTTACGTGGGGGGAGAAAGAGCATGCTGCCTTCTCTGCCCTGAAAAATGTTCTCTGTTCACCGCCCGTCCTGCGCATCGCCGACCCACACCGCCCATTCGAAATAGTTACCGACGCAAGCGACATCGCCCTAGGAGCCGTACTGCTACAGGACTTTGGCAACGGCCTACAGCCCATTGCATTGTCGAACTTATATGCTATAGTATGTTTAGGCTGTAGTGGGGTAGTCTATATGGGGTACAACACTTTAGGGTTTCCTACTTGTACTCCTCATGCTGCTCAATGCAATCATTCCTCATTTCTCACATGGTATAGAGCAGGTTCCCTAGTGGGAACGCTTCCTAAGGGCCCACCACTAATTTATTTTTTTCTTCTCGGGGCGCGCTTCTCTCCTTCCCGAGTCGAGCCCCGTGTGCCCTCCCTCCCGTCGCGTCCCTAGCCCTTAGCGGCCCGTCGCGCCCTCGTCAGTTCCCTAGCGGCCCCTTTCGCGGCCCCTCGCGGCCCCTCTCACGGCCCCGTCGTCGCGCCTCTAGGCCCGTCGCGGCCCCTTAGCGGCCCCGTCGCCGCCTATCTAGGCCCCTCGCGGCCCCTTCGCGGCCCCGTCGCCGCCTCTCTAGGCCCCGTCGCCGCCTCTCCAGGCCCCTTCCGGCCCCTCTACGACCCGGTCGCCGCCCCTAACGGCCCCGTCACCGCCCCGGGAGGCCCCGTCGCCGCCCTTCGCGGCCACCTCGCCGCCCTTAGCAGCCCCGTCGCCACCCTACCGGCCCCGTCGCCGACCCTAGCGGCCCCGTCGCCGCCCTACCAGCCCCGTCGCCGACCCTAGCAGCCTCGTTGCCGCCCTAAGCGGCCCTGTCGCCGACCCTACCGGCCCCGTCGTCGCCCTACCGGCCCCGTGGCCGCCCTAAGCGGCCCCGTCGCCGACCCTACCGGCCCCGTTGCCGCCCTACCGGCCCCGTCGCCGCCCTACCGACCCCGTCGCCGACCCTAGCAGCCTCGTCGCCACCCTTCGCGGCCCCGTCGTCGCCCTTCGCGGCCCCGTAGCCGCCCCTAGCGGCCCCGTCGCCGTTCTTCACGGCCGCGTCGCCGTCTCTACCGGCCCCTTCAACGCCGCCAGCAGCCCAGCAGCCGAGGCGCCCGACAGCTCAGCCGCCAAGCCGCCCAGCAGCCGAGCCGCCGAGCCACCCAGCAGCCGAGCCGCCGAGCCGCCAGGCCGCCCTGCAGCCGAGCCGCCGTGTCGCCCAGCAGCCGAGCCGCCGAGCCGCCCTGCCGTCGAGCCGCCACTGTCATGTCCGACGCGCCCCGGCCCTACTTCCTTGGACTGGTGAGCTCACTCCCTGCTAGACCACTGCAGACATGGCTACCCCCAGTGTCCTTACCTTTGATACTGAGGGTCGTGCTGTTGACTTTGAGGTCTGGGTCGATGACCTCCAGCTGTTCTTACAGTGCGATAGGGCAGACGGACTCTCTCTGTTCGATCTCACCTCTAGTGTCTCTCCTGCCCCGCCTGCTACTGCTGACAGCACTGTTCGCTCACAGTGGGCCACGCGCGATGCTGCTGCACGTCTTGCTGTGCGTCGCCACTTACCGACCACTGAGCGTGTGCAATTTAGCCAGTACAAGAGTGCTAAGACCTTGTACGACGCTCTAGTTGCACGCTACTCTTCCGCTGCCACTACTGCGCTTAGCCGCCTCATGCTGCCGTACCTGTTCTCTGACCTTGCTGCCTTTCCCACAGTCGCTGACCTCATTACGCACCTTCGCACTAGTGACACTCGCTACCGCGCTGCGCATCCTGCTGAATTCTGTGCCAAGAACCCCCCCCCCATGTACATCACCCTCTACTACATAGTCACCCGGCTCCCTGACTCCCTTCGCTTAGTCAGGGACCACTTCCTCTTAGTTTGCCCCACCACACTCACCGTTGACCTCCTCGAGGAGCGCCTCCTAGCAGCAGAGAAGAGCATAGTCGCTGTAGGAGCCTCTCGTGGTGACCCTCGCACCCCTGTCTTTGAGGGGTGTTCTCCCTCCCCCCTCTTGCCCTCTGTTGCTCCTGCTGCTGCGGCCGACCTCGTTGGCTTCGAGTCGGTCGGCGCTGCGTCTGTCCCTAGCGAGAAGTGCCGCACCGGCAAGGGCAAGGGGGGCAAGGGCGCAGGGGGGGCCAGTGGGGGCGGTGGAGGTGGTGGTGGAGGCAGTGGAGGGGGTGGGGGTGGTGGTGGGAGTGGTGGCGGGGGTGGAGGTGTCGGTGGCAGCAGTGGAGGCGGAGGAGGCGGCGGTGGTGGCGGAGGGAGCGGAGGCGGCGGCGGTGGCGGAGGCGGCGGAGGTGGCGGAGGCGACGGAGGTGGCGGTCTGCGCCAGCAGTAGCAGCGCGGTCTTGAGACCCTGTACCCTCAGCAGCTTCGTGAGTGGTACGCTGGGCGTCAGCGGGGTGGGGGTACTGGTCCCTGCACCTACGTCCTCCGTACAGGCGACTGTGCTGGTGAGCAGTGCGGGGGCACGCACTCCACCCAGCGCTGCTTCGGCCGCATGACGGACGCTTGGCGTCATCAGTTCCCTGACGCCACTGAGATCCCTCGCTGGGGAGAGCTGTCTAGGGCTGGGGCAGCTATCTTTGATCTTGACTATGATGCTATTCTTGCTGCCATGCATGCTGTGTCTACTGACGATGAGGGTGACTGTTACCTGTGTGTTCCGCCTGACCCGGGCATTGAGGCTGCTGCTCTAGGTGCTGGTGAGACTGCTGCTCCAGGTGCTAGTGCGTCTGCTGCCCCAGGTGCTGGTGAGTCTGCTCTCTCAGGTACCACGTCGGCTTAGGCCTTGCACACCCTTACCCTTGACTCGGGTGCTTCCCGCTCCTTCTTTCGAGACCGCACCACGCTTACGCCACTTAGTCGGCCGGTTGCGGTCTCCCTGGCGGACCCCTCTGGAGGTCTTGTCCTTGCTAGCTTCTCCACTGTCTTACTGTGTTCGGCAGCCCCCTCTGGCACCCTTTCTGGTCTCTACCTCCCCTTGTTCTCTACGAACTTGGTGAGTGGAGCTGATCTACAGGATCGGGGGGTTGACCAGTTCACACCTGCGCGTCAGCGGGTGACCCACTGTACGTGTGCTCAAACGGGCCGACACTTGGCCACGTTTACCCGTCAGCCGGGGTCGAGCCCGTACACACTGACAACTGAGTCTCCTCTTGTTACTGCGTCTGGTCAGGTAGCTGCGTCGAGTCAAGTATTTGCTGCAGCGTCCAGGTCTGGTCCTGAGTTTGCGCCTTGCTCGTGTCGTCTCCTGTCCCACCTGACTCTCCTTTGGCACCACCGCCTTGGTCACCCCTTCGTGCCTCGTCTCTGAGGCATGGCCTCCCGTGTCCTTGTCTCTAGTCTCCCCCTGTCCCTCCCTCCCCTACCTCAGGGGCCGGCCCCTACCTGCGTCCCCTGCGTCGAGGGGCGGCAGCGCGCCGCTCCTCACTCCTCCGAGTTTCCTCCGACATAGGCTCCCCTGCAGCCTCTTCACATGGACGTGTGGGGCCCCGCCCGCGTCCGTGGCCAGGGTCACGAGCGTTACTTCTTGTTGGTGGTTGAAGACTACTCGCGTTACACCACGGTGTTCCCCTTGTACAGCAAGGGTGACGTCACTGAGGTGTTGATCGACTGGATCCTTGCAGCTCGTCTCCAGCTCAGAGAGAGTTTCGGCTCGGACTTTCCTGTTCTGCGTCAGCACTCTGACAGAGGCGGGGAGCTTTCCTCTGCCCGTGTGGGAGCCTTCTGTCGTGCATAGGGCATCCACTAGACCTTCACGCTTGCGGCCTCTCCACAGCAAAATGGGATTGCTGAGCGCCGCATTGGCATGGTCATGGACGTCGCTCGTACGTCCATGATCCATGCGGCTGCTCCCCATTTTCTGTGGCCGTTTGCGGTTCAGTACGCGGCGCATCAGCTCAATCTTCAGCCCCGGGTCTCCTTACCAGAGACCTCCCCCACCTTGAGGTGGACGGGGAAGGTTGGCGATGCGTCTGCGTTTCGGGTCTGGGGATCTCGGGCGTTTGTCCGCGACTTGTATGCGGACAAGCTGTCCCCCCGTGCTGTTCCCTACGTCTTCCTTGGCTTCCCCCCTGACGCGCCTTGTTGGCAGTTCTACCACCCCACCTTGCGCCGTGTTCTGTCCTCCTAGGACGTCACCTTTGACGAGTCGGTGCCTTACTACCGTCTCTTCCCCTGCCGCACTGCGCCCCTCCCCCCGCCGCTGCTCTTCCTTGCGCCAGGTCCTCCCCCGGTAGACCCCCTCCCCCCTCAGGGTCCTGCTCCGTCTGGTGTGTCCCAGGTAGACGCTGTTGAGACTGTCGAGGTAGCTGTTGACTCTGGTGCTGCTAGGGGCGCTGTGCCTGCGGGTGCCGGTTCTGGGGGTGCGGAGCCTGGGGGTAATGAGCCTGGGGGTGCTGAGTCTGGGGGTGCTGAGCCTAGGGGTGCTGAGCCTGGGGGTGCGGAGCCTGGGGGTGCTGAGCCTGGGGGTGCGGAGCGTGGGAGTGCTGAGCCTGGGGGTGCGGAGCCTGGGGGTGCTGGGTCTACTTGTGTGGCCTCTGGCGGTGCTTCGTCGAGGCGGGAGCTACTCTCTTCGTAGGAGCTGCGCGAGTGGTTTGCCCGGCACTGGAGCCGTGCTGCTGGAGCTGGAGGTACTACTGTTGCTGCTGGTCCGGTAGGTGCTCGTCCTGGCGGTTCTGGAGCTGCTGGGACTGGGAGTCCTGCTGGAGGTGCTACTGGAGCTACGGGAGCTGCTGGCGGTACTTCAGCTGACGGTCCTACTGGAGTTGGTGCTGCTGGAGCTGCTGGAGCTGGAGCTGCTTGGGGTGTTAGCGCTGGTGGTTTTGCTGGCGCTGGTGCTTCTGAGGGTGCTGGAGTTGGCGTTGTTGGAGCTGGAGGTGCTGCTGGTGCTGGTGCTACCGCTGGAGGTACTGGTGCTGTCCCTACTGGTTCTAGAGGCGCTGCGCGGCCGAGGCCGTACTTCATTCCGCTCCTTGAGCAGGTTCTTGGTCTCCCACCCTCTACTGGTCAATTCCTCCCTTAGCGTGTCCACAGCCTGTCCAGTCGCGGTAACAGTTACAGCCCGCCTCCCCCCTGCATGCTCTGTCTCCCTACACTGGTCCTACAGGAGGTCTTGCTGAGCGTCGTGAGCCTGCGTCTCGTCCTGCGTCGCCTATTCGTGCTGCTCGCACTAGTGGTCGTGCTCCGCATCCGCGTCCTCCTGCGGTCCCTAGCACACACCAGATGGCACTGCGTCCTTCCACTGCTCCTCTGCGTGTCCCGTTGCCGTCTCCTCCAGAGTCCTCTCTTCCTACTCTTGCTGACCCGGAGTCAGACTCTCTTCATGCTGCCAGTCCTACTGTCACGCGTCTCCTGGCTACTGTTGTCACTAACCCTTCCTTTGAGTCCACTGCTACGTCTGCCTTAGTTGCTGAGCTTGTCAACTTTGCTGCTCGTTGTTGTCTAGACTACGCTGCTAGTCTTGTTGCTGAGTCTGAGTCTGTCTGTCCTTCGTCCGTCGGGGGTGAGTGTGCTCTTAGCATTTACGTCCTTGAGGACAGGCAGGAGGAGTTCCAGTGTTTTGCTGCTGCTTTGCCTCATCTCGTGTCCACGCTGATTGCCCCTGAGGGAGACCCGGATGCACCAGACATCCCGACTCCTCGATCGTACGCTGAGGCGATCGAGGGTCCCTACTCCTCACAGTGGCAGTCAGCCATGGACGCAGAGATGGCTTCCTGAAAGTCCACAGGCATCTACGTCGACGAGGTTCCCCCATATGGGGCGAACATCGTCAGTGCCATGTGGATTTTCTGGGTGAAGCGGCCGCCGGGTTCTCTGCCTGTCTTCAAGGCGCGTTACGTGGCTCGAGGCTTCAGTCAGCGGCAGGGAGTTGACTACTTTCAGACCTTCTCCCCTACCCCGAAGATGACCACTCTTCGGGTGCTGCTGCACATAGCCGCTTAGCTCGACTACGAGCTTCACTCTCTTGACTTTGGCACACCTTTCTTGCACGGCAGCATGCACGAGGAGATCTGGCTGCGCCGCCCACCTGGCTTGACTGGGTCGTTCCCCCCTGGTACCCGGTGGAGCCTCCAGCGGCCAGTCTACGGTCTCCGCCAGGCGCCCCGTGAGTGGCATGACACACTGAGGACTACACTTGCGGCTCTTGGGTTTGCTCCTTCTACAGCCGACCCGTCGCTGTTTCTGCGCACCGACACCTCTTTGCCGCCGTTCTACATCCTCGTGTATGTCGATGACTTGGTCTTTGCCACTGCTGACACTGCTGGACTCGCCTACGTGAAGGCCGAGCTGCAGAAGAGACACACGTGCACAGACCTGGGTGAACTGCGCAGCTACCTTGGCTTGCAGATCACCTGGGACAGAGCACAGCGCACCATTACCCTGACTCAGTCACACATGGTGCAGCTGGTCCTTCAGCGCTTCGACTTCACGTACTCCTCGCCTCAGGCCACTCCTTTGTCTACTCGCCACTCGCTCTCAGCTCTGCCTTCGGATGAGTCCATAGAGCCGAGTGGCCCATACCCAGAGCTTGTTGGGTGCCTCATGTACCTGATGACTTGCACACGACCTGACCTAGCATACCCTCTTAGCATCTTGGCATGCTATGTGGCTCCTGGGAGACACCGACCAGAGCACATGGCTACAGCAAAGAGGGTGTTGCGCTACTTGTGCAGTATGTCGGGCATGGGGCTAGTGCTTGGAGGGCGACGTCCAGTGGTCCTCACAGGTCACGCAGACGCTTCTTGGGCTGACGACCAGGCTACGCAGCGGTCGTCACAGGGTTACACCTTCAATCTTGGTTCCGGCTCTGTCTCGTTGCGGTCTACCCGCCCGTCTTCTGTTCTCGGCTCCAGCCGTGAGGCCAAGATCTACGCAGGGGCCATGGCTGCATAGGAGCTACGCTGGCTCACCTACCTGCTGATTGACCTAGGAGAGCCGCCTTGTTCTCCTCCAGTTCTGTACGTAGACAACAAGGCCATGTTGGCCTTGTGTCGGGAGCACAGACTGGAGCACAGAACGAAGCACATTGCTCTTCGCTAATTCCTTGCTCGTGAGCTGCAGCAGCGCGGTCAGCTGCGCCTTGCTTACGTGGCCTCTGAGGCCAACACTGCTGATATCTTTACCAAGGCACTTCCGACTTGTGATCATCAGCGCTTTTGTACTTTGCTAGGTCTTGTGCCTACTTGACCTCACTTGCTCACTTCTTGACTTTGCTTGTACTGTGATCTATATATACCTGCAGTTGCATGCTTACCTTTGCTAGATTGAGATCACTGCTCTGTTTGTTCATCTTGGTATATAACTCTGCATGTGAACTGGCCTTGTGGCCTTGTGCTTGTGCTCAGATTGTGTGGTGACGTTGTGATCCACCCTGGGCTTGCCTTGTTTCTCTTGACTGGTCTTGTGACCCCTTGTTCTCCCCCACTTTGCATATGGGGGTGTGTCGAACTTATATGCTGTAGTTTGTTTAGGCTGTAGTGGGGTAGTCTATATGGTGTACAGCACTTTAGGGTTTCCTAGTACTCCTCATGCTGCTCAATGCAATCATTCCTCATTTCTCACACGCATACGAGTCACGCAAACTGCATCTGCCCGAGAAAAATTACCCGATACACGGCCGCAAAATGCTTGCGATCGTGCACGCGTTCAAAGTATGGCGCTGTTACTTGACCGGCGCAGACGTGACAGTACGGACAGACCATAAATCACTACAGTACCTCCTCGCACAGCCACACCTCAACCCACGACAGATCCGCTGGCTCGATTTCCTCGAGTCAAATTTCCACTACACAGTCACCTACAAAAAGGGGGCATCGAACATCACTGACGCCCTGACTCGCCCCGCTGCCCAGATTCACGCAATACTACTCGCCCAGACAAATCCACTATTGACAGGCCTATTCACCCACGGGTACCAAACGGACCCATTCTTCACAGGAGAAAATTCGCAGCAGTTTGCAGCAGCAAAGGGAGTCTATTATGTAAAAGCCGGGACCGACCGCATCTGGGTACCAGGATACACAATTGCTACAGGAGTTACTGTTATAGGAGGCACACGGCGGAGTTACCTCAGGGCATTTCGGGGTAGAGAAAACACGGCAGCAGCTGCAGCGGTACTATTACTGGCCCGAGATGTTGACCGACGTACAACGACACGTGGCATCGTGTCCCACTTGCCAGCTCATGAAATCATCACGGAAGCGGCCGGCAGGAGAGTTGTAGCCGATACCACCCCCAGAGCGTGCTCGGCTGTAGGTGACGATGGATTTTGTCACGGGTTTACCGGCCGGGCCAAGTGGGAACGACACGATCCTGGTCGTCGTCGATCGACTGACGAAAATGGCACACTTCGCAGCATGCAAAAAATCAATCACAGCCGAAGTAACAACACGTCTCTTCATCTCCACCGTCGTTCGGCTGCACGGGATACCAGCGGTGATCATCAGCGACCGAGATACGAAATTCACAAGCAGAATCTGGCGGAACCTGTGGCAACAATTCAGTATGCGACTACAGTTCCGTTCTTCATACCACCCCAAGACCAACGTACAGACAGAGAGGACAAATCATACGATGGAACAACTCATTCGAGCCACGTGCGACGACCCAACCACTTGGGAACATCAATTGCCACTCATTGAATTCGCGTACAATAACTCACCCTCTGCCATGACCCAGCAGTCGCCGTTTTACCTGAACTACAGACAGGACCCAACAGTACCCATGACCCCGAATCCTGACAACCCGGTGCTATGAGCACAATAGTTCGCCGAAATTTTACAAGAAGCACGGACCCGGGCAGCAGACACAATAAAAAAATCGAACATCATCGCTAAACGTAACGCCGACCGCCACCGCCATCACTTACCAGCCCGCCGACCTAGTTTTACTTGACACCCAGAACCTCCGCCTGCCCATCACCCCAAAACTTCGCCCCCAATACTGTGGACCATTCCGCATTAGCCACATGATTACGCCCATCACCGCCCATCTCCTCCTCCCCGCTGACTGGTATGTCAGCCCATCCTTCCACGTCAGCTTACTTCGCCCCTACATACCGTCCACAAGCCAACTGCCACGTAATTGCCCAGCCAGCATGACACGACCACCGACTGAACCAATCATCACACCTGAGAAAATTCTGAGCCACAGAGTTCGTGACCCTCGAGGAGCCCGAAGGATCGAGTTCCTGATCCGCTGGAAAGACCGTACACCCACCGAAGACAACTGGGTTCCCCTGGACAGAGTCAAAAACCACCCTGTCCTCACAGAGTATCTGCACAGCCAAAACTTCAGAGATGTACACGCGCTTTCGTAAGGAAGACCTCCTTAGGGGGGGTGGGGGTAGTGTAAGGAAAATTCCTTTCCCTTACTTCCCGTCCCCGCTCAGCGCGTACACCACTATAGCACCACAGTCAGCACCGTTACCATTCGCAACCCTCGCATCGACAATTCTCCCGCCACTTTAGCACGTTGCACCCAGACCTCACGGCTCGGCGGGTACCCCGCGCTCCGGGCCTCCGCTTCGACATTTCCCCAAACCTTAGTCCCAGGCACGTCGCGCGACAACCACAGTCCATTACCGTTACCACTGTAGTTTCGCTATATATTCTTCGCTCATGCCTTCGCTCAAAGAACTCTTGCTTCGATAGTGCAATTCTCGCTCGCTCACTCAATTGCACTCGTAACACATATGCATTGTTATAAAAAGTAGTAACCACAACTAGAGCACAAAATGCATTGGTGGTTTACATTCAGTTTGAGTGAATAGAGATAAGGTGTCACATTACATTTCCAAGTTGCGGCTACCGTACTCAATAATAAGCGATCCCTCAGAGAGTTTAGGATACACCATTTCCTATACCATAAGTTACGGAGAGGTTTGTGTACGATATATTAAGGCATTCTTGCGACTGCAAATCAAAATCGCATAATCTCGTACAAAAAATGAATAACCGGACGTCAAAACGGCACCACGTATCGTGACACTTGTTTAGGCATTCGATGGTCTGAAACTATGCAAGGATAGGCTAGTGCGTAACATGTTACCGTTTCAATGCTTGGATGTTTTTTTTAGCACTATTTCTTCACACATCCAGGTAGTACGTCATCCCAAATACACAGCACG